GGATGGACCTAGGACAGAAGGCCGTGGCTCGGACCAGATGCAGTTCCCGAGGAGCTCAGCTGGGGGAGCCATTGAGAGCTCACTAGGGGATTGCCCCAAGGAGTGGCAGGCAGCTCCTGGGAAGTTTAAACAACACAAACCAGAAAGGGAAGGGGAGGATTACGTCGCTCTGCTCTTTCGGGGCTCTCTGGGCTCCGTTGATGGGAACAGGCCAGGCTCCACAGATCAGAAGAAACATGGAGGGTCAGGGACTCTGGGCCCTCTTCCCATTCAAAACCCTAGCATGTAGAGTGATACCACGAAAGATCAACCTTCCTTCTAGAGGGAAGAGCACTGGATTCTGACTCCTGTGTCTGCGTTGAGTCCTGCCTCTAGCATTTCTAACTATGGCAGTCACTTCACTTCTCTGAGACCCAGTTTCCTCATTTGTGAACAAGGTTAGCATATTAACAACTGAATCCTTTTTTTTTTTTTTAACTATAAATTATGGAGCACCTTGCTGTATGCTGGTCAGTGAAAGAAAGGTGCTTTACATATGTAAATACAATTTAGTTCTTAAAAGAAGATATTTCGGGGGCACCTGAGTGGTTCCATTGGTTAAGCGGCTGCCTTCAGCTCAGGTCATGATCCCGGGGTCCTGGGATTGAGCCCCGGATTAGCCTGCTTGCTCAGCGGAGTCGGCTTCCTCTCACTCTGCCCCTCCCTGCTCTGTGCTCTCTCTCATTCTCTCTCTTTCTCTCAAATATATGAATAAAATCTTTAAAAATAAATAAATAAATAAATGAAGACATTTTTATCCTAATTTTATAAGTAAAGAAACAGATCCAGAGAAGTGATTTTGTTTTTGAAGTAATCTCTATGCCTGATGTGGGACTGAGACTTACAACCCCAAGATCAAGAGTTGTATGCTCTACTGATTGAGCCAGCCAGGTGCCCTTGGACATGATTTTTTTTTTTTTCTAAATTGATTTTTTTTTAAAGATTTTATTTATTTACTTGACAGAGACAGAGAGATCACAAGTAGTCAGAGACGCAGGCAGAGAGAGAGGAGGAAGCAGGCTCCCTGCTGAGCAGAGAGCCCGATGGTTTCAGATATGAAACCACTGTAAGAACTGCTAAGTGCCTGAAAAAAAGCAAAGGATCATTATTATTACTCAGTGCACTGTTTGCTCATCTGCGAAATGGGGATAATAATACTCTGCCCACCAACTTTAAGAGGATGTTTTGTGGACTGCCAGTGAGATAATGGATGGGGAAACATAGAGAAGTTAAAGGCTCTGCATGGCAGAGGGGACCATAAAGATTATTTCTATGCTGGTGGCTTCCCAAGGCTCCCGTCCTCTACCTCAAGTTTGACATTAATATTGCTGACAGGAGTAGGGGTGGTAGGGGGACACGAGAGACCAAGGGACTCTGCATCCCAGTAATTAAACATGTTGGGACTGAAGTTCTGCCAGCGGCAGCATCTGGTTGCAATTACCAGAGGGGACTGAAGTGATTAGTCACCTTTATAGTGAGAGCCACGTCGGTCCCCTGGGTTCTTCCCTGGAGAGAGCCTTCTCATCAAGCTCGAGTCCCCTTTCCCTGCTCTCATCTCATTTCTGGAGTTCCCTGATCTCCAAACAATAGTCCCTGCTCTGAGACTCCTCCATGTCCCCAAAGTCCCAGGCCATTGGATGAGACCTTGACTGAGAACCAAGAGTACCAGAATCACCCCACCACCCTTTTACTTCTTGCGTTTCTATGGACCAGGTTAGGATTCTTTGGTACAAAATGTGTCAAAGCAGGAATTCAGCTTAAAAAGCAATTTAACCTTTCTGAACTTCTCTTTCTTCATCTACAAAGCGCGGATACCAGGAACATCTTCATTGTGGGATTATTGGGAAGATAATAAGGTACAAAGTACAGCGGACTACAAGGGCCAGAGTCTCGTTTATTTGACTACTAGCTTAATAAATAGTATCTATTATGCATATTTGTCAGGTGCAAGACTGATACCTTTTATGATTCATTTAACTGAATCTCCGCAAACACCCTGGGAGGTGAGTACTGTCATGATCCTTGTTCAGGGTCTCAGAGAGGTTTAGAAGTTTCCAAAAATCATGCAATGCATGAAAGCATCTACCAAAACCAGGATACCAAACCAGCGTGTGTCCAGAGGCCCTTACTCCTTATCAAACCATGTGCTGGGACATCTTTGTTGTTGGATTCATTTATCCCTTCATTTAGTCAAGTGCCTGATAAGGGGCAAGACAGAATTCCTTCCTTTAAGAAACTCAGAGTCCATCAGGGAAGTCATGACAGGTCCATAAGTCACTATACCTTGAGGTAGAAAATTATGGCTTTTGTATATAAGGGCCACTTAGAGGTTTATTCATCCGTATCCCACACACGGAGAATTTGCTATGTGCTGGACCCCGTGCCCAGCACTGGAGATAAGTGAGAGATAAATATAGTGCAGTCTAGTCATCATCTAATGGGGGAGACAGAAATTTCAATAAATTATTTCAGTTGTCAGGGCTTAAGTTATGATTTTAAAAACATGGGAGGGGTGCCTGGGTGGCTCAGTGGGTTAAAGCCTCTGCCTTCAGCTCAGGTCATGATCCCAGGGTCCTGGGATCGAGCCCCACATCAGGCTCTCTGCTCAGTGGGGAGCCTGCTTCCCCCTCTCTCTCTGCCTGCTTCTCTGACTACTTGTGATCTCTGTCTGCCAAATAAATAAATAAATCTTTAAAAATAAAAAAAATTAAAACATGGGGAAAAGGTACATACACAGAGTAGAAGAGATGAACTGTGTTCAAAACAGGGGCAGGACTGGGTAAGGTCTGAGCTGCCAAAGCAGGCAGGAGCACAGAGGTGGGATGGCAACTCAGAAGTGCATATTTTCTGGTGGATGAGGGAAGGCTTCCTGGAGGAGAGGGTACATGAGCTGGCACTTTTCAATAAGTAAGTTTTAGAGAGGGGGAGCTTTGGAACAGAGAGGTCCTGGATGCCTAGAAGCCAGTTACCACGTAATTATAGTAGAACAGGCGGTGAGGACCAAGATAGTGATGCAGTGGGGGATGGACAGGAGGGAGGAATGTCAGAGATGACTGCTTCAGTGTGGGCAAGCCAAAGGGAAACCGAGTATTGTGAATGTGGGTAACTGGGGGCAGGGGATAGTAATGAATTCAGCTCTTTCTTTAAGCTGCCCCAAAGAGTGTCTGATAGTGCTTTGGTCCTCCGAGATGGGGAGGTGGAGCTCTACAGGGTATGTGGGCCCAGGAGCACACAGAAAGCTTGAAATGGCCAAGTTATGCTGCTGTGCTCTGAAGGTCAACGAGGATCCGGGAGCATCACTATGGAAAGGCTGGTCAAGCACCTGGACACTCCAGCCCTGTCTCATCCTTCATTCATCAAACACTCACTGAGCTTCTACTCTGTGCCAGGTCATGCTGGGAAACCAATCTGGTGACCTTAGAGTGAGAACAGATCCCCATTAAGCAGGCTCAAAGGATCTCAGGTTAAGAGGGAAGCTTTCCTGATTACTCCTTCTACGCTGCTTCCTACAGTGTAACAAGTGTCATGGCGACAGGTACAAGAAGGGGTAGTTAGTCCTATCTGGGGATCAGGGAAGGCTTCCCAGAGGAGGCGAATTTTCAGCTGAAGCTCTCAGGATGAGGAGGACTTCCTCCAGTTGTGGGAGCTGATATTTCAGGTGAAGGGAACAGCTTCTCCCCAGGAGTCCTGCTGAAACTCAGACTTTTTCCAGAGCTACCAGAAAAACATCAAGGGGAATGTCATTTTTCCAGCGTCCTGCAGGGGCCGCTGCTGCCCCAGGCTGAGGCTGCAGCCTCTGGGCTCAGCCAGTCCTTCCCAACAAAACTCGGGTGTCTGTCTTGGCTGGGGTGGTAGTGAGGTACACCCCAGACCTGCCTCTATCGAAGGAGTGGGCTCGGGGGTGGCAGTGCCCCCTGAAGCCTGAAGAAATCATCTGAGCTCCATCAGTGGCACTCGGGGGGAGGGGTGCAGTGGGGACAGACGTTTTTCTGTCTCTGGGTCACCACAAGTTTATTAAAATAAAAGCAACTGTGGGTAAATGCTGCCATCTGTGCTGCCCCCCCCAACAACAAATCAGGCCCCAGACTAGACGCAGGGGTTGAAACTGCTTTAAAACACCCCAAGGACTTAACTGAAAACCCACACTCCCCATGCTTCTGGGGCTTAAGATCTTGAGCTCATTCCTTAGTATCTCTCCTCAGGAAGGTGGGGTGGGCTGCCCCTGGAGGTGGAGGTGAAGACCCCCTGAGTCTGCTCCATGGGCTGAGAGGCCCCCTAAGCCTAGAGCCCTGCCGCGGGGCTCTGTGCCAAGAGCCCCCCGTGAGCCATGGCCTCGAAAGGGCAGCGGTGATTTTTTTCACATAAATATATCGCACTTAAATGAGTTTAGACAGCATGACATCAGAGAGTAATTAAATTGGTTTGGGTTGGAATTCCGTTTCCAATTCCTGAGTTCAGGTTTGTAAAAGATTTTTCTGAGCACCTGCAGGCGTGTGTGTGTGTGTGTGTGTGTGTGTGTGTGTGTGTGTGAAGTATTTTCACTGGAAAGGATTCAAAACTTAAAAAAAAAAAAAAACTGGAGCACACGGGCAGCATTACGCCATTCTTCCTTCTTGGAAAAATCCCTCAGCCTTATACAAGCCTCCTTCAAGCCCTCAGTCAGTTGTGCAGGAGAAAGGGGGCGGTCGGCTTTCTCCTTTCAAGAACGAGTTATTTTCAGCTGCTGACTGGAGACGGTGCACGTCTGGATACGAGAGCATTTCCACTATGGGACTGGATACAAACACACGCCCGGCAGACTTAAAGAGTCTCAGACTGAGGAGAAAGCCTTTCCTTCTGCTGCTCCCGCTGCTGCCGCTGCTTTTGAGGGTCCACTCCGTTCATGGTTTTTCCTGCCGGACCAGAGTCACCTTCGCTGCTGCCGTCCTTCTCTCTGGTGTCAATCAGAGGCTGGCCAGAGGATGAGACTCCCCAAACTCCTCACTTTCTTGCTTTGGCACCTGGCTTGGCTGGACCTGGAAATCATCTGCACTGTGTTGGGTGCCCCTGACTTGGGCCAGAGACCCCAGGGGGCCAGGCCAGGCTTGGCCAAAGCAGAAGCCAAGGAGAGGCCCCCTCCGGCCCGGAGCATCTTTAGGCCAGGGGGTCACAGTTATGGTGGGGGGGCCGCCAATGCCAGGGCAAAGGGGGGCACCGGGCAGACAGGAGGCCTGACACAGCCCAAGAAGGATGAACTCAAAAAGCCGCCCCCAAGATCGGGCGGCCCTGAACCCAAGCCAGGACGCCCTCCCCAGACAAGGCAGGCGGCAACGCGGACGGTGACCCCAAAAGGACAGCTTCCTGGGGGTAAGGCACCTCCAAAGGCAGGATCTGTCCCCAGCCCCTTCCTGCTGAAGAAGGCCAGGGAGACCAGGCCCCCTCAAGAGCCCGAGGAGCCATTCCGCCCGCCCCCCATCACGCCCCACGAGTACATGCTCTCGCTGTACAGGACACTGTCTGATGCTGACAGAAAGGGAGGCAACAGCAGCGTGAAGTTGGAGGCTGGCCTGGCCAACACCATCACCAGCTTTATTGACAAAGGGCAAGGTGAGGGGGTGGGGTGGCAGGGGCTCGGCTGAGAGGGAGGGGCATCTGCATGCGTGGAGGGGCCTTTCAGAGCCCCAACGCTGCACCGGTGGGAGAGACTGTGTGCATCGGCCTGGGGTGGTGTCTGGGACTTACCTACCACATGCCCGGTCCCAGGCCGGGTCAGAGCCAATGCCTGCAAGGTGCAGAGGGGGTTACTGAAGCCCGGACAGGAGACAAGACCTGCCAGTTGGTGGCAGAGTTGGGGACCACACTTTAAGACTCCTACCAGGCCATGCTCTGTTCCGAGGTGGGTTGGCCAGACTTTGCAGGCTCCAGAGGTTTGTAGGTTTTCCCAGATGGCAGGGAGAGAAATTACTCTCCAGATACCTGTGGTTCTGCAAATTTGCCTTCAGGTTAGGGGACAGAGGAGGTGGGATGGGTGAAGGCAGTAAATGGGGCATCTTGGAATCATGGAATGACATTTAAATATATGGTGTGGGGCGTGGCAGACTTAGGGTCTAACTTGCAATGTGACCTTGAGAGAGTTCTTTTTCCCTTTGAGGTCTCAGTTTCCCCATCTGCACAGCTCGATGGCAGGGGTGGACTGGGTGATTTCTGAGAGTCCTTCAAAAATGAACACTTTATGTCCTGTCCTAAACACAGATCATTTTTATTGTCAACCTGGGAGGGTATACATTCCCCTCACCTCACTTTATGTTCACGTAGCATTACTGTTTTGGCTTTTTCCTCTCCACTTGCTGTGTGATCTCAGCAAGACTCTTCCCTTCTCAGGGCCTCAGTTTCCCTGTAAGTGTGAAGAGGGAGATGGATTACTCATTGCCAGGGTTGCTCATAGCTCTTATGCTCTGGTTCTGGGAGGCTTAGGACTTTGGCTGGCAGGGTGGGGGAGGGGCCAGAGATGGGGAGAGGCTCCTCATTAGAGCTGGCCTGTGGGGGAATGACAGGGTGGGAGGAAGCGGGAGGCAGCAGGTCTGGCTGGGGTGGGGGAGGTGGCCTGGCTGCCTGCCCAGCCAGGGAAAGCTGTGACCCCTTGGGGGCTCATAAAATAAGTCCTTGTGCCCCCCAGCTCTAAGGGAGCTTGCAGAGGGGGAGATGGGGAGTTTAAAGGCCTAATTAGTCACCTTCTAGAGCAATGTATGAATGCTTCCCAATGGCAAACTGGGATTTAGGAAGGAGGGCATGCTGATTTGGACACACTACAGAGTTTCTCACACACACACACACACACACACACAGCCTTGTATTTATACATATATGCTGAATAACACACACATGTACACATGTAAAAACACACCTTCTTACATGTACATATAGCATCATCTTACACATACACACACATACATACGTATCCTTCAAATATTCACACAAGCACAATCATACACACTCGTTGCTCACTATACTTTACCTTTCGTATTCACATTTAAGCCCAATTGTACGCTCACACATGCGCGCGCACACACACACACACACACACACCCCAGCTGTCACTCACACACATGCTCGTACACCCAGCAGGGTAAAACATGTACACAACAAGAGCATTAGACTAGGAAGCCGGGGAAATTGGATTGTCACTTGCCCTCCCTGTGTTGCATCTGTAGAATGAGAACATCAAGATCTTCCTTAAGGTGTAGTGGGAGTAGCTCAGGGTTGGGTATAAAAAGTTCTAGACTATAGCTCCAATTCTGCTTTTTCCTAGCTGGGTGATCTGGGGCAAGTTACCTAACACCTCTCAGACTCAGGTTCTTCTCTGGAAAAAATAGGGCTCATTATAATACCCACCTATCTCTCCTATGAGATATCATATAAGATAAGAGATGGGGAGGGAGAGGAAGCGGCAGTTCTAAGGCTGAGGCATGTCTGATATGCATTGTCCTTGACACAAACACCCGGAACTGCTCAAATCACAGTCACATCTATGGAGAAACAACCCTACTTGCTCTGCCGTTTAGGAAGCTCCCTTATTTTGAAAAAGGTTCTCGGTAGTTTGGGTCTTGGCCTCTGTCAGAGTAGGGGAGAGGTTAAAGAAAACTGTCTCCAGAGGGGAGAGAGCCGTGGCCCTCCCCTGAGGCCCCGAGGTGGCTGGCTTTCTTGGTGAGGTTGCAGGGAATGACTTCTGGGTGTTCTCTCTAGATGACCGAGGTCCTGTGGTCAGAAAGCAGAGGTACGTGTTTGACATTAGTGCCCTGGAGAAGGATGGGCTGCTAGGGGCCGAGCTGCGGATCTTGCGGAAGAAGCCCTCGGACACGGCCAAGCCAGTGGCCCCCGGCATCGGGCGGGCTGCCCAGCTGAAGCTGTCCAGCTGCCCCAGCGGCCGGCAGCCGGCAGCCTTGCTGGATGTACGCTCCGTGCCAGGCCTGGACGGATCTGGCTGGGAGGTGTTCGACATCTGGAAGCTCTTCCGAAACTTTAAGAACTCGGCCCAGCTGTGCCTGGAGCTGGAGGCCTGGGAACGGGGCCGGGCCGTGGACCTCCGTGGCCTGGGCTTTGACCGGGCTGCCAGGCAGGTCCACGAGAAGGCCCTATTCCTAGTATTTGGCCGCACCAAGAAACGGGACCTGTTCTTTAATGAGATTAAGGCCCGCTCGGGTCAAGATGATAAGACTGTGTATGAGTACCTGTTCAGCCAGCGGCGAAAAAGGCGGGCCCCACTGGCCACGCGCCAGGGCAAACGGCCCACCAAGAACCCCAAGGCCCGCTGCAGTCGGAAGGCGCTACATGTCAACTTCAAGGACATGGGCTGGGATGACTGGATCATCGCACCGCTTGAGTACGAGGCCTTCCACTGCGAGGGGCTATGTGAGTTCCCCTTGCGCTCCCACCTGGAGCCCACGAACCATGCAGTCATCCAGACCCTGATGAACTCCATGGACCCCGAGTCCACCCCGCCAACCTGCTGTGTGCCCACACGACTGAGTCCCATCAGCATCCTCTTCATTGACTCTGCCAACAACGTGGTCTATAAGCAGTATGAGGACATGGTAGTGGAGTCTTGTGGCTGCAGGTAGCAGCACTGGTCTGCTGTCTTCCTGGGTGGCATGTCCCAGGATGCTGGTCACAAGAGCCCGTCCCTGCACTCCCGGAATCAGAGAACCTGCGAAGCAGCAGCCAGGAGCTTCTACACCGCCTGCATGATAGGGGGTTCCCAACAGCCTTGCTCTTACTCTCTGAGTAGAACTGGGTTCAAGGTTCCCTTCTAGCTCCAAGTCCCCTTGTCTGAGGATTTCTGCCCTTCTGCTGCTCTGACTGGCAGGGACAGACCCAGGGAGACAGACTCTGAATGGGACTGAGACCCAGGAGACCTTGCTTTCCGATAAGACTCAGCCCTCAACCTCTCCTTACCTGGGCCTTTCTGGTTTCCAGACTTTCCAGGGAGGGCTCCTCCTGGGAGGGCCCACAGGTGCCGCCCTCTCTTTTGAATCACCATTGTGCCTGGTGACTTCCTGCCGCTGGGGCAAATGAGATGCTGATTGGGCAGGGGTGGGCAGGAGGGGGTAAGGGCTTGGGCCGGGGTGAGGAGTGTGAGGCTGTTAGACTGTTAGATGAAAATGTACATTGACGAGATAAAAAGCAGAACTGTTACTAAAACTGTGGCAAATTTCTTGTTTACTCCAGGGGACCCGGTGACCCCTCAAAGAATGACTGACCCAGGGAAGGGAGGTGCTTTGCCTGAAGCAAAATGGGAGGGTACAGGCTGAGTAGGGCCAATGCTACCTCTAACCCCATTCCCGTTCCTTCCAAAGACCCGTTGGTCTGGAGCTCTTGTCTGCTCCTCTGGGGCCTGGCAACAGATTTGACATTCCTTAGTCAAGCTTGTTGCCTCCGAAATGGATTCCTACATGGGAGGGAAATTGGGAAATTCATTTCCTCTAAAATCATCCCCACTTCATTCACCTATTTGCGCCCCACTCCCCCACATACTCACCATTTAGAGAGCCCTCTACCTTTCAGTGGGGAACTTGGGCTGCCAGGGATCTCCTCCTCCTTGTTGGGGCATCTTCTTTTTGCCATTGACCGCTGTTCCTTGAACCATCTTGTCTGTGGCCCTGCTACCCTCCAGTTTGACAACTTTACCAGTCCTCCTGCTCATCGATCACCTCCTACCCATCATTCCACCTCTAGAAACAGCTGGAGTCCCTCCCTTTTATTATATATTATACAAATACCTAATCATATATTAGATAAGTAACCTCCCCACTAACCTTAGACAGACCAATGCCAGACACATTCTGACAATGTTTCCAGCTTGGGGCTTGGCCCAGAGTAGATGTCCACTTCCCTTTAACCACTAGAATCCATAGAGGGCATGAGGCATGAACGCTTGGGAGGGGAACAGAGCCCTTTGGTTGGTTGGGAAATTTGGGCGTGCAAATCTTTGTTCTAAGGGCTCTGGACCAGACTCTGCCTGGCTGAAGAGAGGGAGGACCAGGGAAAGGGAGTCTAGGCCTCTGCTTCCCACCCAGGGGGCCTCAACATTTTCCCCACCTCTCTCCAGCTGGGTCTTTGATTCCCAGGGCTCCTAGCCAAAGCTGTTTCAACAGTAGGGATTCCTGCCCAGCTATGGGCAGATCTTGTGTCCCTTCCCTCTAGGCCTGAAACCTGGGTTGTCAGGACCTGACACAAGAGCCCAGCGCAGGGGGGCAGCCTAACTTTGAGCTCCCTCCCTGGCTTGGAGGCCATTACCTGTCCCTGAGGGGCCAGTCTGCACCTGGAGCCTAGCCCTCCCTGGCCAGGCTTCGTTGTGTTTGGCTGGTGGCAGGCCTGTGAGCTCCGGCAGTAAACAAAGGAGCCGCCACAGCAGACAGAGTTCTGGTGTGAGGGGAGAGTGGTACAGGGGAAGCCAACCAGGGGGCTGTGGACACAGGGAGAGCAGTGTAGTAGCAAAAGGCCTGGAAATTTAGGGGAGAGAAGGAGAGGTGGAGGACGAAAAGGTTACAGGTGGGGCTGGCTCCTACATGCACTGATTTTCTGGTCTGTGTGTCCTTTATTTCTTGGAAAGTCTGACAGCCTGGAACGGCACCCTGCCTGAGCCCTGTCAGAGGGGGCTTTCTGTCATCTCAGCCCCCGCGCTCGTCCTGCTGCAGGCCAGAGCACTGCATTGACTGTTGTGGTCTGGCTTGGTACCTAGGAGCTTCCTCTCCCACCTCAACCTGCCCTGGAACTTGCTTTCGCAAAAGAGCCACTCAGACTGTGTGCCCTCCCCTCTTTCCCCCCCAGACTATGGGAATCCAATCAGACAAGTGTGGGAAACAGTCCTTCTATCCTAACCATCCGATCAGCTTCCTCCCTGGACAACGATATCTACCTGGGAATCCACCTCCAGTCCCCATCGAAACAAGCTACGGACTTGTATGGAACACTTGTGTGCCAGAGGGCACCAAGAGTATATCATTCTTGGGGTTCACAAACAGGCTCTCTGCTGAGGTTCACAAACATGCTCACAGCTCTGAAGGGCTCAAAAGGCAGCCCAGTTTCAAATTTCGGATCTGTCACTTAGAGTTAGAGGCCTTGGGCAAGTAACTTAATCCCATAAACCTTGGTTTCTTCATTTGTTGGGTTGGGGTGGGAGTGGAAGTCAGGAGGGGGAGGGGTAGACAATATGCCTATTTCATAGCGCTAACTGTGCGGATATGAAAGACACTCAACACAATGACCAGCCCAGTGGTGGCACTAAATAAATATTAGCTGTTATCATTATCGTGTCTCCAACAGTCCTGTGAAGCAGGTAGGGAAAGGACTATTACTCTCCACTCCCCACGCCCCATTTTTGTAGATGAGGAAGCTAACATCCAGAGAGGTAACACAGGCCTCCTGCGGGTCTTAGCATTCTTTGTACCATTCTTGCTACTTCTCTGGGCCCCCCATGCCACTGACTCCGGTCCTGGCATAGACCTTGCCTTCCTGTTCCTAAAAGTTTCTCCTTGGGGATACACAATATGTTAGCTTCTGGGGACAAATAGCTAAGCATGTAAGTTAGGACAGGGAAGATGAGAGGCCCATAGGGGTGGAAAGAAGTGAGGCTCCTAGTGTTCTGATGTCATCTCTTAGCCCTTTCCACATCCCTGTGTCCCAGGGCCATACATGGGAGGGGGACTCAGCTTTTCTAGGGTTTGGACACACAACCCTGGAACACCTCTCGGACTTCACTCGGACTCCACAACTAGTTCTTTGGTTCTGTGTACACTTGTAAGGAAACAGAGTAAGGAAGGGTGAGTCCCATATGCTTGGGAGTCGGGCCGATCTGCGTTCCGGTTCTGGTTTCATCACCTTCCAGCCGAAACTCTCTGAGCCTCAGTTTCTCTGTCTGTAAAAGAGGGATAATAATATCAAATTTAATGGGCCTGGGATTTGGGAGAGGGGATGTTTATTCATTCCAACAACCTTTGATCCATTCATTCATTTGTTAATCAATAAGATTTTATTGAGGGCTTGCTATGGCCCAGACTCTGTGCTGAGGGTTGGGATAATAATAACAATCACAACTGTAAATGTTTATCAAGGGCCTATTATGTGCCAGAATACTGTGCTTAGCACTCTACCTGACTTCTCTTATCTGGCAATGACCAGGCCCTCAAGTTCCATGCATGAGTGAAAGAGAAAATAAAGACCCCAAAGAATCTAGGATGATGATATAATAGGCTGAATCAAAAGAGATGAAATAAACGGGAAATTTCGAATCACCCATCAGAATGCGTGAAACTGACCATACAAGTACAGCATGTAAAACAATGGGATTTCACAACTTCAGATGGGAAAGAGATAGTATTACAGGCAGCTGTGAACTGGATTGAATCAACGAACATAATGTGGGTGCCTAAGTGCAAATATTAAGTGTGGGCTTCATTCATAGACAGGTAGTGTACAAACCCAAGGAAGTTGTCGTTTGCTCTGTTAGGCAGGACTTGAGGAGTGTTGAGATGGACAGAGTAAGGGAGAAGCAAAGTCAAGGGCGAATCCTGTGGGGTTTTTTTGCTTGGGCAACTGCGTGGAAGGTATGCCATTCAAGAACAACAATGAAAGAGAACACAGAAGGAGGAACACATTTTTGAGAGGAAGATGATGAGGTCCTATTTGGACATGTCAAGTTTGGAGAACTATTTTTTAAGATTTTATTTATTTATTTGACAGATAGAGAGAGAGAGAGCACAAGCAATGGGAGTGGTAGGCAGAGGCAGAGGGAGATGCAGGCTTCTCGCTGAGCAAGGAGCCAGATGTGGGGCTCGATCCCAGGACACTGGGATCATGACCTGAGCAGAAGGCAGACGTTTAACTGATTGAGCCACCTAGGCACCCTGAAGAACTCTTAAGAGATTAAATTTAAATAGGAAAAGCAGGGGCGCCTGGGTGGCTCAGTGGGTTAAAGCCTCTGCCTTTGGCTCAGGTCATGATCCCAGGATCCTAGGATCAAGCCCCACATTAGGCCCGCCTTAGACTCTCTGCTCATCCGGTAGCCTGCTTCCTTTCGTCTCTCTGCCTGCCTCTCTGCCTACTTGTGATCACTGTCTGTCAAATAAATAAATAAATAATCTTTAAAAAAATAGGAAAAGCTGCAATTCTTTAATGAAATGATAAGAAGAAGAGATACACTCATATGATAAAAGCAGGTTTGTTGGTTGTGAGGTGGGAAGTCAAGTTTCATTCTGATGGCTTCTAATTTTATTTTCTCTGTGAAGTAGGAGTTGAGGCTGTCTGTTCAGAGACAGTAAGAAGGGGTCAGAATCAAGGTTTGAGGAATGTGGAAAAGGCTCCTGTTATGGGTTTAACCATGTCCTTCAAAAAAATATGTTTAAGCCCTAACCCTCATATCTGTGAATATGACTGTATTTGGCAAAAAGGTCTTCACAGACGTAATCAAGTTAAGATGAGGTCATTAGGCTGTGTCCTCATACAATATGACTGGAGTCCTTAGAAAAGAAGAGACGCACAAACAGGCAGATAAGAAGATGATCATGGGGGTGCCTGGGTGGCTCAGTGGGTTAAATCCTCTGCCTTCGGCTCAGGTCATGAT